GTGTTCTGCATGGCTATCATCCTGTAACCACTGAGAGCCGAGTGGTCTTTTTCTGGTTTGGGGATTGGTATCAACCAACTGTGCAACAATTCTTCAGGGATTTTACCAGTGCCAATGCTTTTGTTGAAGTCTTTTATTATTCCTTCAATCATTTCATCATCTGCCTCTTTCATGTGGCAATATCTTACACCATCCGGCCCTCCAGCACTGTCCTTGGCATGTTTTATCGTTCTGGAAACCTCTTCTGTAGATATCACATCCTCGTAGTTTGCATACGTTTCTGGTGTCAGCACTCTAGAAATATCTCTTTCAACTTCCTTTCTTGAGTCAATATTTCCCTGGTGTGTTTGATGGATGAATCGGTCCAAGAAAGCCCTACCTTTCTCCTCATCAGTTTGGAGTGTCTTTCCTGACTCGCCCTTCACATTCACGGTGGTTTTTGAGTGACCCTGTTCACACATCTTCTTTCGCAGTTTCCAGAACGTTGAGAGTGCCTTCTCAGCTGCAATGTTTTTTACAAACTCTTCCCAGTTTGCTGTTTTGGCCAGATGTGCTTCAGCTTTGAACTTATCTCGGGCTTGCCTTATCTTCTCTTTAGCTGCCTCCCTTTCTTCCTCAGTGACAATGGGGTTCTTCCTCTTTCTTTGCCAGTCCTTAACAGCATTCCTCTTCTCTTTCCACAGGCAAATGAGGCAAATTTCAAATGAGGCAGCCTAGTATCTTCGACTGGAATATTATCTGGCCCTTTAGTTTTTCATTGTTTTATTTTCTTAATTTTTAATCTGCGGGCGTCAACAGAAGCGACTCTTATCCACCGATAAGACCTTCTTCTTTGTAGACTACGACAAAGTGTTCTCCGTGGGACGCCAGGGTCACGCAGCGGTCAGCACGAGCACCGTTGAAGGAATGGAAACGTGTGTTACCGCCGTGAATTCCGTGTGGGGGTGATAGAGGCTGGGGGCACCGAAAATAACGCCAATTTTATAGCACTGTCACAAGCTTTCTACAAATATGTATTACGAATACATGAATAACACTCTTTATGGAAAGTTGATTAGTCATTACGAGTGGTCACGCCCATTCGCACAGGTCTGGGTCTGACCGTGGATTAATTAATAACTTGGGAAAGCCGAGGAAAAATGAACGGATATTCCCGTTTGGCTAGCAGGGGAAACCGATACTTATTATAACCTAGCGAACGGAAGTGAATGCCAGGAAGGAAGTGGTCGTAGTGGTCGACAGTCGACAAACCGCAACCGATAGGCCTAGTAGATAGCTAGGTCTATATTCTAGATCTATTCTATATCTAGATCTAGATCTAGATTTCTAGACACAGGCTGGAAGTACGATTTCATATTTAGATCTATTTTTGTTTTGGCTTTACTGGTTTTATTCACATCATAACTGAGATACGACGGCGCTAATCACTAACGGCCCGGGAGGAGTTTGAGTTCGAACTGACGCACTACTCAACTACTCTTCTCTGCTCTGTGGGCCAACGTAAAGTCTCTGTGATAGGTGAGTTGTGACATTCTCATCGTTTTGTGGTGAGTTGTTTCCGTGAGAATGAACAAATATTTAGATCTATGCCTAGGCTACAGTAGATCTAGTCAGTTGTCCAGTGTACAAAAGCAAACCCTATTGTTGGACTGCTATTTTTTTACGAAGTGACTATTTCTCCGAACGTTCGGAGAAATAGTGCCGATCTTTATTTCTCCGAACGGTTTCCGGCTTCCGGTCTCGTGATTTTTTGCCTATTTATTGCGAGAGTTGGGCGCCAACCACAGAATTCTACACTTAGAATTCTGTATTCTACACTTAGAATTCTGTGGCGCCAACTTTCATTCTGCCTCTGGTCTGGGTTTGGGAAGGAACACCGCATGGCAAGCCCGCCTACAGACAACTTTCTGTAACACCCACCACACACCCACCACCATCATGCACATGTACACACACAAACTTATACACACACTAACTAAACATGATCAGTGGGCAACTTTTGAACGTATGACGAGCTGAGCTGTGGATGGAGAGACAGTATGAGTGAAAGAGCAGGTGAAAGGAAGAATGTACGAGTGTATCCAGAGGCGACAGCAACTACAAGTACAAGACGACGACACCGACCCCCCTGGCCTGGTTCACAGCTCACGAACGAAAGCAATGCGGCTAAGGCAGTGTTTTGCCTATATTATTGTCCATGGTTCGCAGGGTGCAAGGGAATGAGTGAGATTTTCTTTGTGTGTGCCTGCGAAAGGAGGGGGTGGGGTGTGAAAGTCATGCGGACGGGGATGAGCCGCGGGAGAGAACACGGGAATTGAATGAATGAGTGAAACTGAAAGAGAGGAACGACTCACGAGCCCTGGAGTGAATGGATCCTGTGTTTCTATTTTTGTATACTTTGAACTGTTACTGAATAAAGCCCCCCCGTATTCAACAAATCAACCTGGTGACAACAAGTGAGAAAGAGACGAAGTCGAAGTGAAGCTAGGTGAACTTTTTTTCAAAAGTAAAGAGGTTCGGTTTCTTTCTTTTTTATTATTTTCTTTAGTTGACTTTTATTCTCCGATTTGGGGACCATAAAATGCAAAAAAATCGAGTCACGATTGATTGGTCGCGGCCGCAACAAACGCAGATATCTATGCTAGTTCTATGTGTCGTTATCAATAACCCTCCGTAGATCTAGATCTAGATCTAGACAGCACACGAGTGAACACAACACATTAAGTTTAAGAGCAGCACCCTTCATAGGCAACATGTCATATCTGTAGCGAAAAACTGTTTGGAACTGTAGCATTTCTTTATAAATATTTACTGCGGACATTTTTTGGACCGATTGAACCATATTGTAATTGTATACGAACAATCTTTGGTAGGCCTACACTATAATTATAGATCTATATAATATCCGAAATTTGCGGAAAGGATAATTATGTGATTTTAGAGTGTTCGGAGAAATAGTGCCCAGCTTTATTTTCCCGAACGTTCGGAGAAATAGTGCCCAGCTTTATTTTCCCGAACGTTCGGAGAAATAGTGCCTGCCATTTTTTTAGGCCGTCTCGAGCCCGAATAAAAAATTTTCTTATCTAATTCTTATCCGAATATGAAAAAATGTTATTCGGACTCGGGTCTGGAAAAAAAGGAAGTGTCTTCGTACTATAGATCTAACGTTCAGTGCTTCCAATTTTCCGCCATTTTTTAGTTTCCCCCACACCTTTTCTGCCGATCCGATGCCCGCCGCCTCATTGATACGCCCCCCCACCCCCACTCCATGTTTCCCACTTTCTTTGTTGTAGAAAAAGTTAAAATTGATGATTAGCAGACCACCTGGCACCTGCATTATGAGCTGTGTAAAAAAAAAAGACTGATTCGTTCAAATACACAAGCCTGTGTCATCTCGATTGTTTACCAAGAAAAAGTTGTGTTGCTGTGTAGAGCTGAGCTTACGGCAACTTTTGATTCCATAGACCAGCGCACAATTCATTACGTAGATCTACATCAAGACTAGCTTTTATTATTGTATGATCAGTTGCCGGGGGGAAAAAAGACTGACGCGTATGCGACGTTCAACGCCCGGACCGATAGTGCCCCGACACGCACACAGCCACACGTGTGCAGGCCACCCATCCGACCCTGACACACGCTAACGAGCCATCTTTAATTGCTTCTGATGACCTCTTGACAAATAAACATTTATTAGAAGCGCTATAACTTTTCAGGCCGGCCTCAAATTCATCATAAGATAAAAACTCGGCTCCTGCACAAAACGCCATTTTGCCCGAAGTGATCCCGGTCTCTACCCAGCCTGAGGCGAGTCACGAGTGAGGCAGGACTGGAAGCCAGAGTCACGAGTCACAGGAAGTCAGAAGTAATGTCATGCTGGACAAGAATCAGTCCGAATAACATTTTTTCATATTCGGACTCGAGTCCGAATAGTCACTTCGTTTTTTTACTTTCCCTCCCGTCTCATACTCAGTTACCAGTTGTCTATTTTCTGCTAAATATTGATACACTGAACACGAATATCAACTTCATTTCCGTCGCAAATTAATAGTTTTTGAAATAATTGATTGTTTCTAACCGAGATCGACGTGCTTTGGACCAATTGGGGGGTTCCAGGGGGGCCTGCCCCACTGTGCTTTGGACCAATCGGGGGGTTCCAGGGGGGCCTGCCCCACTGGGGTAAAAGAAAATCTGGGGGGTTACAGGGGGGGCATGCCCCCCTGTTTTTACCTATAATTTGATATTTTACAGTTAGATTTGAAGTTGTCTTGAAAATAATTGATTTGCGACAGTTTTAGTGGCTTTATGTGTGATCTGCAGCAAACAGGACTGCAGTTTGACCCCTGAAGCAGTGCATCTATGTGCGGGAGTGAAAGTAAAAAATTACCGTCGGACTTATTAGGCGATCATTTGACTACCTTTCTGAGGATATAGATCTAGATCTAGAATCTAGATATCTAGAGTCGATGTGCCAGACCGCGGCGGTGCCCCCAGCGCGGCAATTGGTCTAGTTTCGGCAATTTCTCACCTACTACATTTGTTTTTGTAAATTTAAAACTGCAGTGATGTCCCTTGCGCTGTTCCGTTTCTTTCTTTCCTCGTCCATTGCGAACACGTGACAATTTTGAATCAGGGATTGAAATTTTGCCGTCGTACCAATTTTGACTTTGTTTTTTTAGTTTTCAGGTGTGTTTGCACTTTTTATCACATATTAAAAGGGAGTTTTTTTAATGATGTCTATTGTTATTTATTTGGTGGATAAATGGCTTCAAATGATTTTGCAACATGATGTGTCGCGATTCGTGCATTTTTCACGTGTTGAGAGAAAATGCCGCAGTAAGGGCACTATGACAATACTTTTGTACCGCAGCGCGGCAATATTGCGCTACTGCCGCGCTGCGGTACAAAGTATTGTCATAGTGCCCTTACCGCGGCATTAGGGGTTTAGGGGTCAACAGAGAGAGAAAGAAAGAACTGCATTGTTTTAGTCAGTTTACTGATGTTGCTGTATTCTTTTGTGTGTGTCTGGAGGGGGGGGGGGTGAGAGAGAGAGTGTTTGTATGTGTGTGTGTGGAGGGGTGTACATGTGTGTGTATGTGTGTGTGAGAGAGAGAGAGAGAGAGAGAGAGAGAGAGAGAGAGAGAGAGAGAGAGAGAAATTTACATTGATGTTTTATTGTAAACCCGTTACCTTGTTATCAGTTTTTTTGGTGCTGCTGTATTCATTTGAATGCATGCCATGTGTTTGTAAATGTGTATGTGTGTGTCTGTGTGAGAGAGAAAGAGAGAAAGACTGACAGACAGACAAATAGATGCCTAACATTGATGTTTTATTGAAACCAGTCATCATTTGTTATCAGTTTTTTATTGTGTTGCTGTATTCATTTGAATGCGAGCATGTGTTTGTAAATTTTGTGTATGCGTGTGTGAGAGAGAAAGAGTGTGTGTGAGAGAGAGTGAGAGAGAGAGAGTGTGTGAGAGAGAGAGTGAGTGAGAGAGAGAGAGTGAGTGAGAGAGAGAGAGAGAGAGTGTGTGAGAGAGTGAGAGAGAGTGAGAGAGAGAGTGTGAGAGAGAGAGTGTGTGTGAGAGAGAGTGTGAGAGAGAAAGTGAGAGAGAGAGAGTGTGAGAGAGAGAGAGAGAGAGTGTGTGTGAGAGAGAGTGTGTGAGAGAGAGTGTGAGAGAGAGTGTGTGTGAGAGAGTGTGAGAGAGTGAGAAAGAGTGAGAGAGAGAGAGTGAGAGAGTGTGTGAGAGAGAGAATGTGTGATCTAGTTACAACCCCACCTGCCAAAACTGATTTGTCTAGCCTGCATGCAATGCATTATTGTCTTTCATTACCTGATACAGGGTGATCCAAAAAAACAACTTTACAACTTTCTTTCTAAATATCTCGCTCAAAAAATGTTCTAGAATGCTGTAATTTGGAACAGACATAATTCATTCAAAAGGAATTTGTTTGATATAAAATCCTTGAAGAAGAAACATGTTTTGAAAACAGAAACAGCTAAAAGAAAAAAGCATCCAAAAACGCAGCAAAGTTCACCAATGTTTAAAAATCTTGTAAAGGAAGTCGTTGAAAGATTAGTTGACCTTTTTCTTTATTTTCTCTTTGACATTAATTTTCCATCCCTGTGATATTTAAACAATATTTTAATTCTTTTACAGAGTTGAAAAAACCTAATGATTTCATTCTGAAATTCCTAGAAGCAGTGCTCCACATTTCCTTCTTTGAACTTTACACATTTTTAACGTGTTGTTCGAAATGTTCAGTGGTGCCCTAACACAAGGACCTGCTAAACCATGAGCTTTTAAAGCCACATACACTGTACATGTTCACTAAGAAGTGGCTTCTAGAGACAATAGAGTGAGGTGCCCAATAGACAGCATTTTTGGAGTTAACATATCCCGCAAGGTGAAAAAGGGCTTTGCACTAAACCAAAATGTCATCGAGGAAATGATCCCTCTTTACAAGACAATCAAGGAATCATGAACACATTGCCATGCTCTGATCCATGTCATCCCGGCCTTGCGAAGATGAACATGGTATCTTAGGTTAAGATCTGCCACGAGAATGCAGACTATTGATGTGTAGTCCTAGCTGTAGATCATCCACGGACAGACGTCTCATGGGACTCGGCTACTGAAATCTGCACTCTGGTGACGTTTAAAGGGCTGCGCATGGTGCTTGTTCGACCTGAAGTCACAAGTGGTCATGTTTTAAAGAACTTTTTAGTTCTGATTCGCTGTAGATCCAAACTGACGAAACTTCTCTACTCATGACGCCAAAGGTCTTGAGGGCACCTAAGCATTCTCTCCATGCCGTGCGCAGAACTTACGGAATGTCAGGGATGGTGAGTTTGTGGAGAGGTACAAAAAGCTCTCTGCTCTTTACTAAATGTAACCAAGATCTACGCAGGCAAACAAAATTTGGAAAAAATAGTACCTGCAGACTTCTGCTGACTTGTTAGACTGCTGTAGCTTGCAATATGGCGCGATTGTTGCAACTTTTAGTGGTAGGTCTAATGCGAACTGGTGTGTCATGCTATGAAAATGGCGACAAGGTTGAAAATAGGTTGTTTTTTTAATGCGCTATATAGAGCAAAACCCTTCAATGGACTTATCTAAAATACACATCACACAAATTCCTTTTGGCTTCCAAATGTTATGTTCAATTCTGAAACGCAAAACTTCAGTATAGAGGAAGATATTTAAAAAACAAGTTGTAAAATTTTTTTTGGATCACCCTGTAGTTGAACAGGCTCTACTTAGAGCCTCAAACAACTAAATCGTCAATGTCAATGTCAGTGTGTAACACAGATTTCAGGCTTCGCAAATTTGATAGGCCTATTGTCCACTCCCCCCCCCCCCCCTTTTTTTTTCGATACCTTAGAGTATTTCAGAAACGTTAAAACATTGCTTTAAAATTGGTCGGCATCTCGCTCCGTTTAGAAGATTTTATCAGATATATGTAGGCCTATGACTCACTGACTCACTCCCTATGTTAAATTCTGACAGTTTTCAGTTATAGATTCTACGGTTCTCTAAGAAGTGGTCCCGGCTAGAACTCCATAGACATTTATTATTCATACATTATGTACACAATCGGAAACAAAACCGGAGGCTGCCTTTAAAAAAAGAGGGGGGGGGGGGGGGGGCGTGGAGAAATTTTAGTTTTTGTTTACATGAAGGATTTTAGTTTTTGCTTTAGGGCTGACTAAATGCAAAATAGGTTACTGCCAAGGTCGAGCAGTCTTGTTTTCTCGCAGTACCACCACTGAGGAGAACTACAATGGCTAAGGCTGGTTTCAATCAAATGAACCCAATCCTGAAAAATAGAAACATCTCAATGAACACCAAAATGAAAGTCCTGAAATGCTATGTTGGTCAACCCTTCTATATGGCTGTGAATGCTGGACAATCACTAAAGACAGTGAAAATAAAATAGAAGCAACAGAAATGTGGTTTCTTAGGAGACTGCTAAGAGTATCGTGGAAGGAAAAGAAATCAAATGAGGTAGTGCTTGATGAAGCTCACGGGGGACGCTCAATGTTAAAAACAATCAGGAAACGACAAATGCTGTTTTTGGGACACCTGAATAGACATAAGGGTCTTGAACATCTGGCTCTCTCTGGCAAAATTGAGGGCAAGCGAGGCAGGGGTAGGCCCTGAACAACATACTTAGGGAACCTTAACCAATGAGTAACAGGGAAAGATCAGGGAAACGTAGCTTTTTTGAGAGCATCCGAGCAAAAGAATGAAGGGAAAACCATGATCGCCGATGTCTGTCGCAGATCTGGCTCTGGATGATGATGATGAGCACCACTGAAGTATCTGAATATTATATTCAGACATTTAAAAATCTTTAGATCTAGCTCTAGAAATTCAATTCGATGCAAAAAATGCTTCTTCCCAGTCTTCGTAGAAAGGCAGAATGAAAGATGACGCCTAAATCTCGCAAGTAACCAAAAAATCTCGAGAACGGAGACCGTTCAGAGAAATAGAGATCTTGAAAGTTTATTTTCGTCAAGCCTTCAGAGAAATAGACCCTTCGAAAAGAAAAAGGGGGGAGGGGGAGGTTGCAGGGTAGTCTGCCCCCTGCTAAATTCACAAAATAACGGGCAGTTTTTAGTGCCAAAATTTTCTCTGCACACTAAAAAAACGTTAGAATAGTGCGGAAAATAGTCTCACATGGGTTTGGATATTTTCTATAAATTTGCCTATGGTCTTTTAATCCTCGCAACTCAGTCAGTTTTTTTTACTCGACTTCCGTTTTTGTTTCCGATTTTGTTTATAATAATAAATGTCTATGGAGTTAGGCCGGGACCACTTCTCCCGAAGAGTGCCGATTCTACATTCATCACTCATGTCCATGGGAGCCTTTTTTTTAAAGAGGGGACGAGTCAGGTGATCATCCCGACCCGACCCGATCCGATCCCATCTGCAAATAGGCACCCGACTACTTGAAAAAAAACCCAGTCTTCTGTCCATTTTGCTTGCACAAAATAAATTGTGCATCTCTCACTCTCGTTACAATCCCACAAAACATTTCATCACTGTCCATAATGCACAAAATGATAGCAAACGATAAACATTGTACTAAACATTCAGGTATCTTGTAAAATGTGTTAATTATGGAAAAGCGATAATAGGCTTAATTACAAATAGTTCGGATGTTGTGATTGGCTCTTGAATTTATGGGCCGTAGAATTATCACTTCCGATTTTCTGACGGCCTTCCGCATAAATATCCACTTCCTTTTATAAATACTTTTTCTAATATAATTTTACAGTGGAGGAGACTGCATCTTGTTCATTTGTGTGTGTCGTAGTAAAATGAGGCTCTCATCAAAGTAATAGAAAAGAGGCATTTTTCTGCCTTTTAGGCAATTATTTTTATTGAATTTTTGTTGTTGTAGTGGCTCAACATCTTTAAATGTCACTTTTTATTTCCAGAAGGGATTTTCCCCTCATTGGTGGTACAAAACATGAAAGTGACAAAAGTCTTTTGATTGGTCATTAACCCCTTCAATGCCGCTGGTAAATAGGCCCCTGGGCTGGGGGAAATCCTTTACACCATGGCTGCTCAGGGGTGACCCCTACTCTACATCCCATACCTTTTTTATATATGAATATTTCCTCTTGAATTTCTACATCCATTCTACTTTAAACCACATTTCTATTGATACAATTTTGGGGGAATTTCATTAAGAGATAGATGAGAAAAGTTGGAGTTAGTAACATGATGCCAAAAGCAACACCACCAAACAACAAAAACAACACATTCGAGTAATGATAAACTGAGATTTTAAAAAAAAGGGGAATAGATCTAGAATCTACATGTTGTGTGAGTGTTTGCTGGTAAAGAAGAAGCGACTAGAGGCCTTTCCTACCTTATACAACGCTCGTACAAATCCATATAACCTATGCATGTAAGCCCATCTGTGTTTACTGTCAGTAAATCATTTTTGTGTGGCAGATGTGTTAGATCTAGGTCTAATCTTCTCTTCGAGCTAAAATCTGAATCTTACGCTTTCAAATGGGGGGAAAAAGGAGGTAAACATAAAGGGCAGGCACCCCAATAGACCTAAGAAGGACAAGACTTTAGCTGTAACTTCCCTTATAATTGGTATAAAAATAACCACTGTCACAGGCCCGTAAATTCTACGGACGCGGCATGCCGACAGCGAAGAGGCTAAATCTAAATGAACCTATTTTGATAATCTTCATCTTGTTAAAGTGAAAGAACTCGATCCTGGTTAGAGAGACCTATTTTTGGCAATTACTGAAAATTATTAATACAATGTCTTTTCCGTCGTAGCAAAGGAATTTGACCGAGCCGTTGACAAGGGATCACCGCTCGCGACACGCAGCAGTTCCAAAGTGGCTTAAAATTGCTGTACACAAGGAACATAAAAACACTATATGCCTGTCATGGTTTACTGAAATAAAAGTTGACCAATCAGGCGCTTGTCAATTTTTGGGCATGTGCAGTTATTGGCAGGCCTATAATTTTACAGCTTGTTATGAAAAAAGTACCCATTTATCTAGAATAAAACTAGAATAGAAGAAGTCAAGATGTATTTGCAATTAAAGGAGGTGCGGGGGTTGCCTGGTTTTAGAGGTAAAATTAGGGAGAAAATGGCCACCAAAGTTTGGTGACTTCCAAAGCTTGAAAGTCCTTGGAAATTGAAAATTTACATTTTTTGTTCCTTTAATCAATGTTTTTCAATAAGATTCATACACAAATGTGTTTTTGAATAGACATATAAAAAGTGTTGAGCTAAACAGAAAATTCAATAAAAATTACCAAAATAGCGGAAAAGTGCTGGTTTCTTTGATTTCAGTATTTTGATGAGGGCCTGATTTCACCACGATCATGCCGCACTAATTTATATATATGTAAAGTTTCTTTTTCCAAGGACTCAAACTTAAGTCACCAAACTTTGGCGGCCAATTCTCACTAATTTTGCCTCTGACATCAGGCGACTCCCACCTTCTTAAATCAATCGCAGAATCTCAACTTTCTATTCTCAAGATAGCTGAGTATTTCTTTTTCCATCGAAATCTAGACAAATGAACACACATTAAAGTTGCTGAGCCAAAAAATGAAAATTTGATAAAAATTGCCGAACTGGTAGAAAAATGCCATTTTCTTTGATTTCATTATTTGACGAGCACCTGATTTCACCACGATGCCTCTCATGTCAATCTTTGTTATCAAATGTTGTTCTTAAATGTTAGCATTTTTAGAGGATTATTTTCAGGATAGGCTTTAATCTCAAGTGTTTTTCTCTACAGGTGCAGAACAGAAAACGCCGCCATGAATAAAACTGGAATTTCAGTTCATTATTATAATGAAGGACTCTTTGAAAGGATAAAAGAAAGTTTTATGAATTTTGTGGAGCCATCATCATTTAAATTGTATATTTCAAAGTATTCCAAAGATGTGTTGAACAAATTTGATGAGGTAAGTAAAGCATTTCTATTTTCTCTTAATAACATACTGTAAGATTACTATCATATGATTTGGTGATTAGAACAATGCTTTTATCAAGTCCCTTTCTTTTTGCCACCAATCAGTGAGAGAGGTTTTTGGTTACTCAGTGACATCCTTTGAACAATCAGTATGTAGAAATTTGAAATTAGAATATTTTTACTTTACTTGATTGATCTAGATCCATAGCTTTTTTTTTTTTTTAGGTTGGTAGACTTCTCAGTACAGTTTTAGCGGAAAATATGGGGGTCTATTGCAGACAAGTTGTCTGCTTTGACTCAATTATGCTTGATATGTACATTTCATTTTGATTTGAATTTTAGTTATACTTAAGTTGACTGGCAGCACTTCGACATAGTAGTGGTCTTTCTTGTTGGCCAATTCTAGTGCATTAAGGCCATTTGTTCTGCATATCAGACTACCCATTTGAGATGTAATTATGCTTATTAAGATATCAAAAGCTTTAAAAGTAATAGGCCTAGTTATTACATTTTTGGTAACCGCCCCTTCTTCTTCTCCTCCTCCCTTTTCTACTTCTTGTGTATCCCGTCTTCTATGCCACGCCCTACCCTTCTTACGGAGCGTGAGATACCCCCTCCGCCCTCTTCCCAGGCCCTCTGTCTGATCCACTATCACATACCCTTGCTACCCGCATAGAACCCCACCCCCGATTAAGGCCAGATAACCCCCCCCCCCCCCCCCCACCTATGGAGGATGACGCCTTCAGTCTCCCTTCCAAGGAAGGACGTAGTCTGTCACTCCCCTCCCAAATCCCCCAGAAAGCTGCTGTCCAGTCAAAGGTGGCAGCCGTGCAAATGTTCTGCCTCCGCTACAGAGTACAAGGAGGAGACGGAGCTCATGGAAGTCACAGCCTTTGTGCTCCAAAAACAAAAAAATCAATAAAATTGCAGTCCTGCTATGAAATGCCGGAGGACTCTGGCCTTCCTTTGCAGATTTGCAAAACCTAAAGGCCACACTATGACCATTTGAGTCCCGCACGCTAAATGATCTTATTCAGTTGTGAGCGCCATAAAACTCTTACCATACTGAAACTGAAACTACGAGGGTCGTTCAAAAAGTTTTGCCTCCTCTTCAATAACTTCTAAACTAATCAAGATATCTTCATGAAATTTGTACACAATTGACTTTCAATATGTATACTCTCAAAACCAAAGACAGAATTATGCTATGATGTCACACTTTTATGCTATTGCTGTTTAATCAATGAAGCTAGGGTACATTGTCGCCGAAAAAATGGCGTCCAGCAAATCTATGAATGTGCGCTTAAAACAAAGAGCTGTTATTGAGTTCCTAACTGCAGAGGGAGCTGCACCAATCGATATTCATAGGTGAATGAAGTTTGTCTATGGTGAAGCATGTGTAGATGTAAGTACTGTTCGAAGATGGGCAAAGGAGTTCGCTGAAACCAGTCCAGCAGAGACAGATTTGCTTGACCAAGCTCGATGTGGTTGTCCCAACTCTGCCAGTGATGTTGAACACCAGGAGAGAGTGGATGAGATCATTCAAGCAAACCGGCAGATCAAAGTAAGAGATGTCAGTGAAATGCTAGGGATTTCTGTAGGGAGTGCTCAGTGTATTATCCATGATGTATTGGGTTACAGAAAATTGTCTGCATGGTGGGTTCCCCACATGTTGCCACCGGAGCTGAAATTGAACCGAAGTCAAGTTAGTGATGAACTCCTGGCTCATTATACAGATGAAGGTGAAGCTTTATTACGCCGTATAGTTACAGGAGACGAGACTTGGGTACACCATTATGACCCAGAGAACAAAAGACATTTGAAAGAATACAGGTACTCTGGCCCACCTAGCCCCAAGAAGTTCAAATTTTTCATCAGCAAAGAAAGTGCTTATGACAGTGTTTTGGGACTGCGATGGTCTGGTTCATATGGAATTTTTGGAACAGGGCTCCACTATCAACTCTGAACGATATATTGAGACCCTGAGAAAACTTAGAGCACGGCTGTCACGAGTTCGGCCAGGAAAAAATGCAATTTTGCACCACGACAACGCCCGTCCACACACGAGTCGACAAACTCAAGATGCTATGAAAAGTCTCAGATTTGAAGAGACCTTACCGCACCCATCATACAGTCCAGACCTTGCTCCATCTGACTTTTATCTTTTTCCTAAGTTGAAGGAGTACCTCAAAGAAAAACATGCAGATGACAATGAAGTGGCTGGTTCAGAGGAAAACCACATTAATTTTTTGCCGACGGCATCCAACAACTTATTCGACGTTGGCGGATCTGCATCGACAAAGAAGGCGGCTATGTTCAAAAGTAAAGGTACTGTTATGTAGCAGAAATCCTAAGCTTTCATTTTGGTGGATAACTTTTGTATGTAGCATCAGTAATAAAGAAATTATGAGCTTGGAGGCAAAACTTTTTGAACGACCCTTGTATTTTGGGGTAAAAGGCCTAAAGAATTGAGGTCAAAGATGGAGAGGAGAAAAGTAGGGCCAACCAGCATCGCTGAGTAGCTCAAGTGATATTTATTTGAAAGATTTTCACTATTCTGTTGCCAACCAGCATCGCTGAGTAGCTCAAGTGATATTTATTTGAAAGATTTTCACTATTAGTATTCTGTTGCATTCATTGACACAGGGTGAGATAGACGCTGAGATAAAGTGTAGAGGTGTCTACAATGGAGCAGTAATGCTTCTCAATAAACTGACCAAATACCGTGGTTGGTTTGAATGTGCTATGAATGTGCTGAGGGATCCCGATATGAAGCTGGCGAATGCTGCAGAGGAGATGGAAACGATCAAAAGTAGGTACTTGTTTTAAACACAACCATTTACCTGTATTTTAATTTAGTATTTGTGAGGCTATGTTTATGTAAATTGTTTTAAGCTCTATTGATGCATTTGAAGAAAAAAGTGAAGAAATGAATGAACCTGGAGAATAAAAAACGTATAGACGGAGGGGTTTGGGGGGGGGGGGGTAGAAAGGGGTGACACATACAGAAAAGAGCCTGTGTTCAACAAGTGCTCATTACTGTTGAATTGTTTAATGTAACCTAAAGCTCTAATGATAAAAAAATATTTATTTAAAAAATGGCACAGCAGGTGAAAGAAATTGGCGGAGGAGGGGGGGGGGGGATTTTTATATTACATTTCCAATTTTTGGAATTCCCTTTCGACATTTTTGTGGAAAATATGGTTAGAGAGAAAGACAGACAAATTGACAGGTGACAGACAGAGAGAACATAGGTGTAGTGGTATTTTGGTGCAGTATGCTACAATAGAATGGTCAGTTTGTTTGGGTTTTTTTGCTTTAAATGAACAGTTGAAGCTTCTGTAGCCACACCAGAGTGGATGCCATGAAATGATTGTTTTGTTTTATTTTAATTATTATTATTTCTATTATTATTATTATTATTATTACTTTTATGTTTTTGTCTTTGTTATTATTATTGTATTATTATTAATATCGTTATTATCATTGCGACGATAGTATATTTTTCTTTTAGAAATGAATTAAGTTTGTCATTGTCATTGTTATGCCAGCCTACCACCTGAAGCCATGAGCAACAACTTGATTGTGTTACATTTCGCTCTCAACAGTGAAACATGATGGTGATGTGGGGGGGGGGGGGGGGGGGATGGTGGTAAAGGACATGTAGCCTGCTGTTGTGCTTCCAGTTAGGTGGCAAAGAATACTGACGATAAGCTCAGTCTAATCGTGAATAACATTGTAATACTACATAACATTTGTTGTGACTTCTTTTCAGTGAACTATGATGCTGAGCTGGAGAGAAGTGGATTGTTCTTGAATTCAACTGGAGTCCAGACTCCTTCGGTATATGCATTTTACTTTTCTTTCCTTTCCTTTTCTCTGTTGAAAAATTTAAACGTCATTTGTGTCACAACAGTGTGGAATCAGGCTTTCATCAATTTTTAGGCGTATGAAGCTATTGGTATCACCTTACAGTATGTTCGCTTGTCATTCGTGGGAGGAAAAATATACCAGTCTGTCTTGAACGTTTTGTGACAACGGGGTCTGAATAGTCCAGAAATCGAACATCAGGGGGGGGGTTGTTGTCTTGCTTTCTTAAAAACGTTCAAGATTATCCGTGAGCTCATAGACCTGACCATATTGCAGGGACTTTTCGATTACACTGTGTGTGTTGTCCACTTCCTTTTGCATTTTTTCCTTTTCAAAGTATTGGTGTTCAACAATTTGGCCCTATCTGGTACAAATGTTGCTGATTGCATTTGGCAAGATAACGTGGTGTGATAAGTACAGCCATCACTGTATATATATATATATATATATATATATATATATATATATATATATATATATATATATATATATATATATATATATATATTTATATATATATATATATATTTATATATATATATATATATATAACAAGCTGGGCCCTCTTTCGATGAAAGGAATGATCAGTGCATTAACATCAACTGAAAGTCATTGACCTACTATATTTACGCTCTACTGGAATTGAGCAATAAATCTTGAGGGAAAAGTGACACCTGTGTTTCCAAGTTGCAAAATATATAACAGACAAAGGATGCCAGAAAAAGCAATGATGGGCATCAAACGAAAGGATCAGAGTCGAATTTACCACCAAGTAAAAAAAAATCATGAGGCTAGATGTATACGGGTCGCACACTTAAAATAGTGCTCAGTATTGCGTGACAATGCGCCATAGTATCGAACGGAAGTACGACTTGAAATAAACGAACCTGGCGGATTTTCTAAAATAGAGACAGAAGCGTCGGCCTACAAAAGCGATCGGCGAAATAAAGAAATTTAGCTTTTTGCAGTAAAACTGTCTCAAAACTGAAAAAATGAAGGGCGTCATGATCTGGAGAATATTTTAAAGAATCTTTTGGCGAAAACCGCATGTCGATCGATGTAGCCATTAAAAAGCCTTTTGAATAGCAAAATTCGGCCACCACAAATAGATAATAGATGGAGGTGGCATATTTATTGTCAGTAGGCTCCTCCAGAAAGTTACTGACACAAGAAGAGATTTCATTGGCAATCAATGGTCCTTCTCCTTGGTGCCAAACATGACACTTCACATCTTTGGTTACCGAATTAAAAAAAATATAGACAGCTAATTTGGTCCTGTTATGATATAGTGCAACAGATGCGTTCAACGCTGTACTAACAATAAATCCGCTTCCAAGTCTATGTACACAAGACATAATCTGGTCCCATCCACTGGATTTTGCACAAGCTTCATGTTGGATTCTTTCTCCAACCTTGCCTACATCCCATTGATCCTTCCGACACATACAACAACAGGTTGCTCTTTTTTTAACATCTCTCTAAAGTCGTCTGGGACAATGTGTGACTCTTTCCGTTTTCTTTGGTACTCTCTATAAAGGCCTCTGAGGCTTTGAAAGTGATAGTCAAGATAGATTTGCCTGTAGTCTGTCTGTTTTAATGGGAAAGCAATTTCGTCAAGTTTGTCGAAGAATTACTTATCACAACATTGCTTGTCCTCTTCTGCTCTCTGGTAATTTGACAGTCGTGGAGCTCCCATCCCCAAGTCATGTAAACTGTCTTTGCAAAAGTCACGAATAACCACTGTGTGAGGGCAGTTGTATACAAACTCATTATTTTGCATATAGGTAGAATGTATGAGATTTTTTTCAAATTGAAGTGTGGAGCTGGAAAGATGAAGTTGAAGGTTTGTTAAAGAGAGAATTTTCATAGCGAGTTTCTTTTTCTTTTGAGAGACAAATTAAGTATCATCAACCCAGCCCTGATTAACTAATCAATGATTCAAGAATGGTGCATGACAGACACAGCAAGGGGCGCACACTTAATTAAAGAAAATTAAGAAACTCGAAAAGCGGTAATAAAAATATTTTCCGATAGTTGTACCGAATGTGAAATAAGCGCCCCTTAGCTGTCAATCATAGGCTTTTGAAAGAATTCATTCGTCAGTAGCTTTTGCCACAATTTACTGACTTGGTCGAGTCAGTATTAACATTTCGTTGATGCCATCTTGCCCTTTTTCAACAACACTACCAAACCTAGTGATAGATTACGCAAACTGCCTTGACAAAATCTTCTAGCTCTCAATAGGGTTCAATCTGAGTCAAAGCTAGCAAAGGCAGCACTTTGTTTTGATGTTAAATCAGTCTGTTTTGACAAAGGCCACAGTCCTGTGGGTCACGCCGCCTACACCTTAACAAGCCGCTGAATCTGTGCGATTCCACCGCCCATTCGCCACCGGGCTGCAAAACTAGCACTTGGGCGGTTGAGTCACGTGGAAATGGGGACTGGTGTGATATAGGGGATTGCTTTACTGTAGGATTGAAACGCTTTGCAATAATCTTTCTAACTGGGAATTTTAACATGAGGTGTATCAAAGGCTGTACTACTTAAAGGGATCAAGAAGTGATTTTCGAAAATTTTGTCACTTAGGCGGTTGAATCACGCGGCTAGCGATATACGTCTCTTAACTGGTTGTTAAATCAAAACTAATGAACCAATTTGATATTGGCGATTGAAGGAGGTGGGGGTCGCCTGGTTTCAGAGGTAAAATTAGTGAGAAAGTGGATGCAAAAGTTGAGTTATTTCCTTAACTTGAGAGACCATGGAAGCTAAACATTTACTTCTTTTATGCCTTTAATCAGTGTTTTTCCAGTAAAATCCACTCAAAAATGTGTTCTTTAATGGGCATGAAAGGTGTTGAGCCAAAAAAAAAAATTCGATAAAAATTCAGTCCGATGTCGTGCACCAAACTGTGCAGTTCGCTTCAACTCTGAGAGACTTCCATAGAGCTTTCTCTCAAGGGGAACCACATTCTGCCACATCTGTGTGCAAAGGGTGGCGTAGCGCGGGCAGTGCTGAAGGATATGGTTGGCATCCTCTTGGTACATATGGGTATATATATATATATATATTAATATATATTTTGGATATGTAAAATGTGTGTGAGTGCGTGTGGGGTGAGTGTGCTTTTACTTCCTCAGCAGAAGTGTCTTGATGATCCCGACTAATTTGGTATCTGTTACGTTTTTCCTTTCACAGCCTCCTGTCCAATACCCAACAGGTGAAGTTGGAAGTGACTTTTCTCTTCTATCTGCGAACTGTAAGTGAAAACTGTTAATTTTTTTCCCCAGTGCGATGACTTCCTTGTGTGTGTGTGCGTGTGGGAGGAAGGGGGGGGGATGTGAGTGTGAGTGTATGGGTGTGTGTGTGTGTGTGTGTGTGTGTGCGCTTTGGGGGGGGGGGGGGGGGTTAAATGATCTGTATGTTATTGAATAAATTACTGGACTGAAGCTGGATAAGTGATTGGATTCAGCCCATTGATTTTACCAAATATTTTAAAGCAGTCAAGATAAAACATTTAGCCTGCAATTTAAAGGAAGAAAAGTGGAAGTAAGAATATTGGGGATGGCCTGTTTTCTGTTCATTTTATTTTTGTAAGGTCCCTCTGTGGAGGCTATGGTTGTTTTGCTTTGGTAGAACCAAAAGAACTTTGTCAATTCACGAATCTTAAGATATTTTTTTGTTTTGCTTGTGTACAAGTGTTTATGTACATCTTTGTGCATGTGAGTGCTTGTGTGAAATTTCAGTTGTTTTTCTTTTCCCCCTTTGTCAATGCAAAAATGAGAGAAAGAGAGAGACAAAGATGAGACTGTGGGTGGTTGGCAGGTGCTCTGGTGTGGTTTGCTCCTTCTTTCCTATCAAACATCTATTGTCCTTATCTCCCCTTCTTCTTTTTTATGTTTATTACTCTCTTGTAACACCTCTAATCTTCTGGCGTTCATATGACCTTATGCAGTTGCGAGTGTCGTAAAATCTCTACTTAAACTAAACTAAAAGATGAGACTTTTTTTGCTGTTTTGTTGATGTGCAAATGTTAATGTATATTAGTTCTTGTGTGTGCGTGTGTGAAATTTCTTTTTTTTTATTATTCTTTTTTTCACCTTGCTGCTTCTTTTAGCAAGCTCAGCATCATTTGAAAATGATGCTGATCCAGATGTACTGCAAGGGGACTGTCCTGTGGTTCCGCCCTATGGCAACAAGGAAGAATTCAACAATGTGACCTTCACCTTGAAAGCCCCTCCCACAGACGATGTCCCTGCTGCAGAGAAAGCGGATGGGGACGAAAATCAAAGTCCACGTAGTGAGCCCCCGAAACGCTCTAAGAAACTCGCTAGTGATGGACCCAAGCGAATGTCCAAGACACAAGATTCTGCTCAGGTAGGATTATATATTTTTGCTTGAAATTCATCTGTCAAATGCCAGCAGCTAATTAGTGTAATTGTTTGTTGTTGTGTAAAATATTTAACACAAAAATAGACCCGTTAAGATGGCCCACTACTAAAAAATACCTTTTTCTTAAGAAAAGAACATCCGCATCTTTGTGAAGCAAAAATTCTTGACTCTTTTTGAAGATATTATGAATATTGATAAAGACAAAATCTGGCTTATGCCTACCTGGGAATAGGTAAATCCTTGGCTTTTCATAGTTCATTTGAGTGCAAAGTTATGCGTGTGTTTGATGTCCATGATAGGCTGAAGGGGTAAAAGATTTCTATACTTGCATTTTATTTCCACTGAAAATCTCTAGAGGATTGTAATCTCTAACTTAAATGTACAATATCACTGTGTAGTTAAGGCAAAGAACATTTTCATGTCTTGTTTGTTTTGTTTTTTTGTGTATTTGTCTGTGTGTGTATGTGTTTGTGTGTGTGTATGTGTGTGTGTGTCTATGTCTGTGTGTTTGTGTTTGTGTGTGTACATGTTTATGTGTGTGTGTGCCTGTTTTGTTTACATTCATACCTTTATTGTCGTAATAGTAATAAACTAAGTCTGTGTTGTAAGGGCTGGACTCTTCACATAACTCACTTGAGCCTGAGCTATATTTCACCCTTCCCCTCAGGGCAGTGCCACTGACTGAAGTGTCTTTAGGCCATTCTCAAAGGGGGTGGATTAACATGTTCTTATGCACAGTAGAATATTAAATGGGCTAATTTATCATACTGTGCTGGAACAACATATTGGGGACTGCTGCGTTTTGTTTTCCTAATCCTTACTATCATCCTTTTTCCTCTACTTCTTCTGTATGTTTGTCACTCTCTTGTGAACTGCTGTTTCCAGGGTGCCTTGATAGTCGAAGCTACCTTTGTAGTGTTGAGGCTATAGAGGTGAGCAGAGTAGGCCTGATTCTCCGTTAGGACTTCTCTGTTGACATCCACTCCTTGGCGCTCATATGATCTTATGCAGTTGTGAGCACCGTAAAACCTTACTAAAACTTTTTCACCCGACATCAATTGCAGCCTGACTGTTTTAGGGTATGATGAATCGTTAACCACAAAAAGAATGTGAAATCTATCTTAATTTTTTTAATGCAACAAAAAAAGAAAGAAATGCTCTCTCAGAAAAAGAAAACTGCATCTAATTTGTCCGAATAGTTTAAATCTTATAAATATTTTAAAATGGCAATGTCTGGGAATTACGCAATTTTTTTTTGCGCCCAATTTATAATAAAAATCATCTATCGCAATGCGAAGGTGACTGACTTAGTCTATTACTGCTCAAAAAGTGTCCACATAATTTCACAAAATTTTTAACGAAACGGAGCAAGTGGGTCAGCTGTTGGTTCACCGCTTCCTTTAGCTTGTAACCGAAAAACAACAGAGATATCAATCGAAAAAGCACTTTCTGTAAATACACAGGATTAGGCCACCGGGCCAGCTGGGCATCCCATAAATACATGGGAATAGGCTCAAATGAGTTAATAATCAAAAGATGTGAGTTCGATTCCTTCATAGAGACCATACATACTTTATTTGATTTTTGTTAGTTTTTCTGATGGGGTGTGTTCTACACAGCCCACTTCAGCCCTGCACTGACAGTCAGGGTGGAAGCTGCTTGCCTTTGAAATGATATGAACTGTGTAGATGGGTGTGTAAACATTTGCAAGCATGTACAGTGGAATCCTGTTATAACGAGAGGGAGGGGACTGGTACGAAATGTTCGTTATAGCAGGATTTTCGTTATAAGGAATCCAATAATAAATTCAAAGGAACTGATTAAGTAGGCCTTATCTATGAATTTGATGTTCTGTTTATTTTTAAAATGTTTTTTGTTATTATAATGTATGTCTGATGTCTGACATGTAAGAATGGGAAGGAACTATTTTGTGAATGTTGAAATACAGTCAAACCTGTCCTGACGGCCACCTCTATATGACGGCCACCAGTACAAACGGCCACTTTCCATTTCCCCCCTTCCGTTTTTTCTATATAATTTAACTGTGTAAAACGGGCACCTGTCTAACGCGGCCGCAGCCACCATATTTTAACACACAACCCCTATCACACTAAGCAATAATACCTGTCTTAGACGGCCACCTTTGTGACTCCATTAAGTTTTGTCATAAATTGTGCATTGGCCCCTGGCGTTGTGGGCGAGCCGTCATAATTCAATCACCTGTCGTTGTTGTTAGATAGTCCCTCCAACCGATCATGTTGCGTAGGCCCCTCCCACTGTTGACCAATAGCTACTAATTTTCAGCTGTTGTTGAGGTAAGCGTGTGATCCCTCATAACCCGTAAGCCCCGCCCAGAACTCTTACACTATTCGTAAGTGAGATGAGTGGTCACTGTTTACCCAGTCTGTAACAAAGTAACAAAGGACGTCATCATGAACTTGTAACAGAAGCTTCGCCCGTTCTCCTAGTGGTGGCGACCCATGTGTTTGTTTTAACATGGCACTCGGTCTTCCTCGTCTGATACATTTCGTTTTATTGTCACCCTTGTGCAAAATCAGCAACAAATAAAAATTACAAACAAGATACAAACCACCACCACCACCACCAACAACAACAACAAAAACAACAACAATGCGGCTACTTTCGATTGGGATCTCAGATGGGAATGGTTTGTTTTCTTCATCTTGATCAGTCCTGCCTAAGACGGCCACCTGTCTTATACTGCCACTTTTCTCCTTGACAATGGGTGGCTGTCTTACACAGGTTTTACTGTAATGATTCTTTAATATCACAATTATTTCCCCTTCTTGATACGTCACGTTTTGCCTCGTTTTGGAATCCACACGAGATTTCAGTGTAAACTAAACTAAATAAAATCAGTTCACCGGCAGGTAGGCAAGAGAGCGACTGTGTTTTATCTTCCTTTCAAGTAATATCTTTTTATAATGTGAGGCCATATGCAGCCGTCACACCACAGTTATCTGCCCTGATGATGATTTTGTCCAACATGACCTCTTGGTCTTATTTGATCAAAAATCAAATCAGGTTTTTTTCTCTAGCGTTAGCGATGTTGACAGCTCGGCGTTGGTGATCAGAAAGAAAGTTCTCTAGGCTAACTCGCCCGCTGTATTTTCCCCCCACCCCACCACACCCTGTTGTGCGTTCCGATTGCTTGCGCACGTCATACATTCGCTCCATCCATCACAGCATTGTGACCTCTCCATCCCCGCATCGGAGAAATGAGAGGCATGGAAGTGGAAGGCCTAAATAATCTAGACTAGGCTGGCCTATCACACGATGAGTTCTGCTTCACAACGGCTTGTCACACCCTCCCCACTCATTCGCTCCAGCCTTCATTGTTGGCACACATGGGCTCTCCCATTCTTTGTTTTGCTTGATCACTAACAAGTTTCTCAGCTGGCGAGGTTTTACAAGTATAAATGGCCTATGTGCTGTGCATAGCAGCAGCAATATTCCGCTATAACCAACTCGCGCATTTATCTGATTGCACTATAGCAGTATTTTATTTACAAAGATAAAAAAGTGAAAGAAACGGGGTTTTAGAATAGTGTCTTTATGACAGACTTCTCGTTATTTCAGGACTTGTTATAAGTGGACTCCACTGTACAATGATTTGTCATGGATGCTATTTCCTTATTAAATCTCAGCAGCAATATTATGTTTCAAATATGCGTCACGACGCAGTGGAATCAGGTGCTCGACAATTTTTGGGCTTGTTGAGTTATTGATATCACCTTAAAGCTTGTTCATTTGTCTCTCTTTTGATGAAAAAAATACTATATACCTTGAACACAAGTCGAGATATTTTTCGAATGAAGGAGGTGGGAGTAGCCTGGTTTCTGATATAAATTTAGCAAGAAAATGGCTGCCAAATTTTAGTGACTTCCATAGCTTGAGAGCCCTTAAAAATTGAAATGAAAAATTTTTTGGTGCCTTTAATGAACCTTTTGCAGTAGAATCCACAAAGAATTTTAAAAAATTGACATGAAGAGTGTTAAGCCAAAAAACAAAAATTCGATGAAAATTGCCATGCCAAACTGGCAGAAAAATGCTGGTATCTTTTTGTGTCATTATTTTAATGAGCACCTGATTCCACCAAGATGTCTCACATATTACATTGTCTTTGTCTAGCCTAAAAACTAGTTCAGCATGATCATTTCTTTATTAAATCTCAAGAGCATGTGTAACTGTAAATGTTGTTTCAAATATTACATTGTCTTTGTTTAGCCTGAAAGCTCTGGTGACCAGAAACGCCAGGCCGACCCACTGACAGAAGGAGAGGCCAGAGGTCAAGGGCAAGGTAACCTGAATGTCACAGGAGATCTGCCAGCCAAGGAGGTCAGCGAAGTTCAAGAAAAACATATTCTATCATCAGAGGCAGAGAATCTCGAAGGAGCCGTGGGAGGTGCTGACCCTGAGACAGCAGACCATGAGTATATGGATATTACCTATTCAACTGAGTGAGTGAAGTTTCTGACTCTTTTGGTTAGATAAGTTAAGATAAGATATGATATGATGAGATAAGATAATATGAGATGGGATGAGACGAGAAAAGATAAGATGAGATGAGATAAGATAAGATAAGATGATACTTTATTGTCCCTGTGGGAAATTTTTCTTGGTTGTACTAACGCATCATCATTGCCTTTCTCACCCTGGATCAGCATATAGGCCACAAACAAACACTTTCCACCTTTTCCTATCCTGGGCTAGTTGCTTGATGTCACTCCATGTCTTCCCACTTTTCTGTACATCCATTTCCGTGACTCTTCTCCAGGTTCCACATGTAGATAATATAATGTAGGCCTACATAGAATTTAGATTATATATGTGAGGGATCATGGGGAAATCAGGGGCTCATCAAAATAATTAAATCAAAGAAACAGGCATTTTTCTTCTAGTTCGACAATTTTTGTCGAATTTTTGTTTTTTGGCTCAACACTTTTCATGTCCATATAAAAATACCTTTCCATGTGAATGAAGGGGGTCTCATGGCCAAGAGGTTAAGGTGTTTGCCTCTCATTCAAAGGTCCCAGGTTCGAATCCGGGAAGCAATCGAAAAATTTTCTTCTCCAAAATTGTCTACTTTCACCTCCTTTCCTGCTCTCTAGCAATTTTCTGTCGTCTGCTTTCGTTTTTATTTCTGCCCTCCACCCCTTTTGCCTGTGACTCATTCTGCAGCCTTTCTACTGCTACTTCTTGGCTCCTTCTTACTGCTGTCTTTCAGCCACACCCCTGATCTTCAGGTAG